TTTACAAAGGGTCCTCTTATACAGCAGTAAACCATTTTTCCAGACTAGGAAGGACTCTCGCAGGCCTGTGGAGCGATATTTTCTCTCCAGTTTCCTAGCATTTTGCTTCAAAGTACGCAGCTCTGCATTAAACCAAGGAGCAAGCTTTCTATTTTTAACGGTTTTCATTTTCAAAGGAGCTGCGTTGTCTAAGGCAATACGCAGAGAACTAGCAACCCCATCAACAAAATCATCAACCTGTGAAGGGGAATAAGCTAAGCTTTTGCACTCTGCAGCACTGCTCAGCGACACAGAGGAGAGAGAAAGTGAAGCAGATTCTTTAAAATTTATAACTGCACTATCTGATAAAGATCTACTAAAATTGAACCTTCTTTTGGGGGAGGAGAACTCTGTTAAAGTAATCCTGAAGGTTATTAGAAAGTGGTCAGAGAGGACAGGGTTGTGAGGAAATACTGTTATTTCTTCACATTCTATGCCGTATATCAGCACAAGATCCAAAGTATGAAGATGATAATGCGTGGGACCACTCACACTCTGAACAAAGCCAATAGTGTCTAAGATAGCATTAAAGGCTGCTCTTAAGCTATCGCCTTCAATGTCAGCATGGATGTTAAAATCTCTCACTATGATGACCCTGTCAGTATTTAATACCAAATCAGAAAGGAACTCTGAAAACTCATCTAAAAATTCAGAGTAAGGACCTGGTGGACGATACAAAGTTACAAAAAGAAGAGGTTTTCTTGCCTTGAAATTTGGATCAGGGAAATTAAGGGTTAAATGTTCAAAAGAGTTGTAGGTATTAATTGTTTTGGGAGTAATCAGTAAGTCAGACTGGAAGATTGTTGCTACTCCTCCTCCTCGCCCAGAACTTCTGGGTATGTGAAAATTTAAATAGCTTGAAGGAGTTGCCTCATTTATGCTCACATAATCCTCTTGCTGCAGCCAGGTTTCTGTAAGGCAAAACAAGTCAATGTGATTATCACAAATCAAGTCATTAACTAGTAGACTTTTAGAGGAAAGCGATCTTATGTTAAACAGACCGCATTTAATTGTTTTAACTTTTTCCCCAATTGGAGTTATTTTGATTTTAATTAGATTATCACGATTTACTCCTTGGGGAATCTTTGCTAATTTATTAGATTTTGGTCGTGGGCAAGACACTGTCTGGATGGAGTAAAGAGTGGGTAACAGTAGAGAAGCTGCAGAGATGTGTGTTAAACTACAACTCTGCTTCCTGGTCTGCACCCTGGGTGGTCAGGGTTTTGGAGGACTAATAAATGTGGCCAGATTCCTAGAAAGAAGAGCTGCACCATCCAAAGTGGGATGGAAGCCGTCTCTCCGAATCAGACCAGGCTTTCCCCAAAAGGATTGCCAATTATTAATGTAGCCCACGTTGTTTTCAGGGCACCACCTAGACAACCAGCCGTTGAATGACGACATGCGGCTAAACATGTCATCACTGGTCAGATCAGGGAGGGGTCCAGAGAAAATTACGGAGTCCGACATTTTTTTGGCAAACTTACACACCGAAGCAACACTAATTTTAGTGACCTCCGATCGGCGTAACCGGGTGTCATTACCACCAGCGTGAATAACAATCTTACTGTATTTAACCTTATCCTTAGCCAGTAGTTTCAGGTAGGATTTGATGTCGCCCTTTCTGGCCCCCGGCAAACATTTGACTATGGTCCCTGGTGTCTCTAATGCCACGTTTCTGACTATGGAGCTGCCAATCACCAGAGTGGGCTTCTCAGTGGGTGTGTCACTGAGTGGGGAAAACCGGTTAGAAACGTGAACGGGTTGGTGGTGACCAGTGGGCAGAGATCCACGACTACGCTTTCTGCGTACAGTTACCCAATCGCCTGGCTGCTCAGGCACTTTTGGAGGACAGCTACGTGGGGGGCCTACTTTAACTCCTGGATGTTCAACAGCCTGAAGCCTGGATTCTAACTCTGACACCCTCGCCTCCAAAGCTACAAAAATACTACACTTATTACACATCCCATTATCACTAAAGGAGGCAGAGGAATAACTGAACATCTGACACAGAGAGCAGGAGAGAGGAGAGGAAGAATGAAGAGTTGGAAAAGAGTCAAGGGAGGGAGAGAGAGAAGCCATAGCAATGCTAAGCTAGCGCTAGCCTAGGCTAGCTACTCCTTGCTATCAGAAATAAAACCGTGTGAAACTGACAAGTGCTCAGTAGAAAAGTGCAGCAGAAGGTGCTATGTTTTAAAGTAGTCAGTTAGAGTTACTTAGATACAGAGATATCACAGAGAAAATAACTTAACTTCAGATGGAGTTCCTCTGAACAGCTGCACACTCAGTTAATCCAAACAGGAAGTGAACAGGATGCAGATGCAGATTTAAGTATTTCTTCACTGAAAGAAGAGCAAAACACTGCTCTGGAGGCTTTTCTCAGAGGAAAAGATGATTTTGCTCTTCTCCCGACTGGTTTCGGCAAGAGTAGCCTGGCTTGTGGTTGTGTTTTCGTCGTCGCTCTGTTAGTACGTCATATGCTTCGTTGATCTGATTGGTTTATTTGGCCCGTCTCTCACCAACATAGGCCAATCAGCTAACCAGTATTTTCGCCCCTTCCCAAAATTACTTCAACAGAAGGTTTCCAGATGGATATGCGGAGCAAATACATCTGGCGGAGTTAGGTTAACATAGCGCAGCCCACGCTTCAAAATTGGGCATAAATCAAAAATATCTGCGACAGGCTCACTGCGACACACTGCTGCGGGAGGACAACTAGCCGTTGAGGCTGATCTCTTATGTTTTCCAAGCTGGTCTGTTGAACCATTCCACATATTTTTTTTTTCATGTGTCTATTGTTTTCCTCCAGTCAGCCTTTCAATAGATTTTGTCCTGTTTTCTAGGACCACCCCTCCATCAGGGCAGCCTGCAGCCGTCTGGCTTTATGTCCATGGTGATTATGTCTCAGAGTGTCGTAGACGTCCTAGCTGCCAGTCGTAGATCTAGCCTGTTGCATTGCTCAGTAGTTCTGGTTCTGATCCACCGTAGAGACCAGTGATTCATGCTCCTTGGATATTGCTGTGGAGCAGTACTTTTTATTTTTCTGTGATGTGAAATGGCTCAGTGTCTTCCTAACAGGTATGAGCTGCTTCACACTAAGCTGGAAATAGAACACAATTAAAAAGGGAACCACATGTTTCCTTTGCTCAGAAATCAAATAAACTGAAAACTTGATAAAGTTCAGACTTGTGATCCGATCACTTAAGAATGATCAGGGGTTCTATCAGTTTCCAAAATAGAAGATTCTCCCACAGCAATATCTTTCATTTAGCGTTTCAGATTGGCTAACATTAGCAGAGTTCTTTCTTCTGGTTCTCCCTGATTATATACAAGGTTTGTGTTCATCTCCTGAGAACAGTTAGTCCATTTCCTTCTCTCTAGGTCAGGATGGATGGATGGATGGATGGATGAATGGATGGATGGTGGGTGGTTGGATGGGTGAATGGGTGGTTGGATTGATGGATGGTGGATGGATGGATGGATGGTGGGTGGTTGGATGGATGGATGGATCGATGGATGAAGGGTGGGTGGATGGATGGATGGATGGATGGATGGATGGATGGATGGATGGATGGATGGATGGATGGATGGTGGGTGGATGGATGGACTGCTGGAATAATTATGGATGGAGGGTGGGTGGATGGATGGATGGATGGATGGATGGATGGATGGATGGACTGCTGGAAGAATTATGGATGGATGGATGGATGGATGGATGGTGGGTGGATGGATGGACTGCTGGAATAATTATGGATGGATGGATGGATGGATGGACGGACTGCTGGAATAATTATGGATGGATGGATGGACTGCTGGAAGAATTATGGATGGATGGATGGATGGATGGACTGCTGGAATAATTATGGATGGATGGATGGATGGATGGATGGATGGATGGACTGCTGGAATAATTATGGATGGATGGATGGATGGACTGCTGGAAGAATTATGGATGGATGGATGGATGGACTGCTGGAAGAATTATGGATGGAAGGATGGTGGGTGGATGGATGGATGGATGGTGGGTGGGTGGGTGGGTGGATGGATGGTGGGTGGGTGGATGGATGGATGGATGGACTGCTGGAATAATTATGGATGGATGGATGGATGGATGGATGGATGGATGGACTGCTGGAATAATTATGGATGGATGGATGGTGGGTGGATGGATGGATGGATGGATGGATGGATGGATGGATGGATGGATGGATGGATGGATGGATGGACTGCTGGAAGAATTATGGATGGATGGATGGTGGGTGGATGGATGGATGGATGGACTGCTGGAAGAATTATGGATGGATGGATGGATGGATGGATGGATGGATGGATGGATGGATGGATGGATGGATGGATGGATGGATGGATGGACTGCCGGAAGAATTATGGATGGATGGATGGTGGGTGGATGGATGGATGGACTGCTGGAATAATTATGGATGGATGGATGGACTGCTGGAATAATTATGGATGAATGGATGGACTGCTGGAAGAATGATGGATGGATGGATGGATGGATGGATGGATGGATGGATGGATGGATGGATGGATGGATGGATGGACTGCTGGAATAATTATGGATGAATGGATGGACTGCTGGAAGAATGATGGATGGATGGATGGATGGTGGGTGGATGGATGGATGGATGGACTGCTGGAAGATTGATGGATGGATGGATGGATGGATGGATGGACTGCTGGAATAATTATGGATGAATGGATGGACTGCTGGAAGAATTATGGATGGATGGATGGTGGGTGGATGGATGGATGGACTGCTGGAAGATTTATGGATGGATGGATGGATGGATGGATGGATGGATGGATGGACGGACTGCTGGAATAATGATGGATGGATGGATGGATAAATGGATGAATGGATGGAAGAATTGTGGATAAATGGATGGATGGATGGATGGATATCTCTTTAAGCTTCATCTGACTGAGCTACTCTTTGATCTCAGCTGTAGATCAGACGTCCACCTCGTCAGTGGACGGCGGTGATGAAACCACCAGACGGAACGTAACCACATCTGTTCCAGAGAAACATCTTAAAGCTCCGTGTAGAAACTCAGAACCATCCACGAACTCACAGCAAACTGAAAGTGGATTCCAGCCGACCATCTCCTGCAGACCTGATGCTCCATCAGAAGAACATGGGCGTGACCCGCTCCTCTCATTTGTCAGTGAAAACACCGCAGCACTGCAGATAAACCACGGCTGCTTTATTCAGCGTGCCGCCCAGGATTGCCCTCCATTTGCAGAACTGGTTTCCAAAACTGAAAAAAGCGAATCTGCTTCTGACAACAACAGAGAGAGCAGCGATGATTATGCTCTCCATGAGAGTTCAGGTCCTGAGCAGGTGAAGCGTTGCTCCACAGATCCACAGCATCCAGATGGTTTCAGGTCCCCTGATATGGACCGACTTTCCCATGGATCTATGAATAACCAGGAACATTCTGAGTCTCCACCAGACAAAGAGAGCACCGCTGAGGTTCCTCTGCTCTCTGACCTCAATCACATGCCATGGGCGGCCCCTGAGGAGTCAACAAGGCTGTTACCCAGCAGGACGGGTAATGCATCCATTAACCAGGACCCTGAAACCATGACTCATGATGCACAGTCCTCAGCTCTGTGCCGGAACCTGATGAGTCAAACATCTTCAGCTAAATCCAAGGCTCTCCATGTTGGACCACAGTCTGGAGGTTCTGACCTAATCGAGCGAGTCGTAGAAGATCAAGCTGACTCAAACCCAGATGCTTGCTTTAAATCTCCTGGTGGTTCAGAGAGTCCTGCAGAAAGCGATGAACCCAAACATCAGATGGAAAATGGTTCTTTGATCCGCAAAGCTTCAGTTATTCAAAGTATCAGGTCCGCTTCAGTAGAACCAGAACAGACGTTTAGAAGTGAAAGCCCTTCTGAGACAAATGTGGCCTTCAAGCAGCTCAGTAAATTCCAGCCGGTAACGTTCATGTCCAGCTTCCTGAACCAGAACAAGCAGCCTGAGGTGAAGAGCAGCCCTGAATCATCCAGGACCGGTAACAGGAACCCAAACACGGCCCGGCATGGACCCACAGGAGGAACAGAGGAGAGCCATTTAGCTTCCAGTTCATCTGACACTGAGGAGCAGCCGGCCTCGCCCATGACTCAGAGGACATTATTACAACTCCAGCTGTGTCCTCCGCCTTCTCTCACCTCACCACCACTAAGAGCCGCCAAAGACTCTAAAAGCAAAGCCTACTCCAGGTTGGCCTCCCAGCTTTCTCCCATTTCCAGAGGAGAAATGACTAACGGCAGAGCCAGAAGTCAAGGCTTGAATTCCCTGCATCGTGTTAAAAAAGCTCAGCTAACGGCAGCAAACGGCCCAGAAGCAGGTATGGGGTTAAAGTTCAGCTCTTCCAAGCTGAACGGTCCCAGACTGAGTCTTTCCAAAGATGTCAGCCTGTCCACAGACTGCAAGCCTTTCTCTGTCCGACATAAAATCAAGTCCTTCGAAAGCCTGGCCCACTTGGATAGACCTGTAGCCAAAAGCAGCGAGGTCCACACGTTGGCGGTAGCGTACACTGCTTCTCTCAACCAGAGGATTGCTGGATATATGGACCTGGTTAATTCTGTGCATTGGCGCGGACAGCGAAGGAACAACGACCCTCTGACAGCAGCAGCGTCCCTCCCACCTCCTCTAAGCAAACCTGCTGAGGATGAAGCTCAGAAAGCTCCAAATGGAACCATGACAAGGACCCCTCTGGTGCTACGAAGGAAACATGGCCGCCTTCCCAGCAGGAAGGTTCATCAGCTTCGGGCCGTCAGTATGCCCGACCTGGAAACGCTCTGCACCGAGAACTTCAGCCTAGGGAATAAAGCTGCTGACCCCAGCCGCCAATCCGCTACTGCGGATGACACGCCTTCTGAGGACGTACCTCAGCGGCCCCCAGAGGCCGAGAAGTATGGCTGGTCCATCAGGTGAGAAGCAAAGTTTAGAAGAAACTCTTCAGTTTGATTTTCTAGTAGTAATAGGATGTATGAAATAAAAATATTACACCTCCTCAGTAGGAGACGTTGGTTACCTTTTAAGACTTGAATTATTAGAACAGTCAATAAAAGTGATATTTTAAGTTGGTTCACTTAAAATAAATGCATCAACCGACAGGAAGCGGATGTAGAAGGATAACATACAACAGCTTCATTCTGTGTTCGGAGTAACAATATATCACTTCTAAACCAGCCCCAGTTCAGACTTTTAAAGCATCGTTAAAAATTATTTCCATTCTCAATTGAGTTTTTTTATGTATAAAAAAAAAAAAAAATCCGATGTTTAGATGTTTGACTCATCCAAAATGTGTCACGGTGTGAGAGTGGTGGTCTGTTTTGATGAGGACAGTCTATGTTGCAAAGCTCTGTTTCTTTGAGATTCTTGCCAGACTTCAGACGATGCATTTAAAGCTGAGCAGACAGACTTGGTCTGTTATTCCAACCCCTTTATTCATCAAACAGGAAAAAAAAAAAAACATAGACTAAGCTGTAAATACAATAAAGCAAAAAATTATTCGATTTACATATGATCACATTTCTCATTTGGTCAACCAAACGTTAAAGGATGAATGTCCTTAGCTAGCATTACTTTATTAGCTTGCTTTAAACTTTGTTTGCATATACAAAATAAATAATCTAGGGCTGAAACAATTAATCTGATTAATTGTGATTAATTGATTTGAAGTAATTTAGTAATTGCATAATCTTCTGGAGTATAGAGACTGTAAAATTTGATTTTAATTGTCAGAACAACCGAATTAGAGCTGTAATAACATCAAAATTTTAAAAAATATATCAACATTTTTCATTTAAGATAAAAAAAATATGATTTTGCCTGTCAATATGCAGTATCGAGAACCCTGGAAAGGTTTTAGTTTTTACCTGGTTTAATTTGGTATAAGATCTTCCTTAAGGAACCTTTGGCTGTCTGATTATTGATTGAAAAAATAATCAGCAGATGAACTGATTAGCAAAATAATCATTAGTTACAGCCTAAAAATAAACTTTTAATCATTGCAAAAAAGAAAACAGCACCATACAGCAAAAACATACCTGTTCGCCTTCCAACTAGACGCCACATTAAATGTAACCTGACTCCGCTAGATGGATTTGCTCCGCATATCCATCTGGAAACCTTCCGTTGAAGTAATTTTGGGAAGGGGTGAAAATACTGGTTAGCTGATTGGCCTATGTTGGTGATAGACGGGCCAAATAAACCAATCAGATCAACGAAGCATATGACGTACTAACAGCCAAGCTACTCTTGCCGAAACCAGTCGGGAGAAGAGCAAAAACATCTTTTCCTCTGAGAAAAGCCTCCAGAGCAGTGTTTTGCTCTTCTTTCAGTGAAGAAATACTCTGTAATTCTGATAAAATTTGCTCGATAGCCACGCTAACGCTAGTTTCATCGGCTGAAGCCGCCATGTTCTTTAGACTGAACTGTCGCGCTTCTCGTTGCGTCACACCTCAACCCGCCTCAAAGCCAACGCTGATTGGACGTTCGTTTGGTGAAAGGCTCCAAATTTTCTTCAACGGAGAGTCTCCAGACTGATCTGCAAGTGAAACCTTGAAAGCTTGCGAGATCAGCATGGTCTCACGAGGCTACATAAAATATGCATGGAAAACAGTAATATCTTTTATAAAGCCATCTGGGAGGAAGGCAGGAAAATGGGCTGTTTTACCGCAAATAGAAAGGCCTACTGCCTTCAAAATAAAAGCACCATAAACCTTTTTTGAAGTCATTCAATATGAATCTGACATGGGTGAATCAGGAACATTAGGTGCAAAAACACAAAAAAAAATACTATGTACATAAAAAGGATATCTGAATGGTGTTAGGTAGAACAAAGTATCCATCCGTTTTCTGACACACTTAATCCCAAGTGGGGTGGTGAGGGGTGCTGGTGCCTTTCTCCAGCTGTCTACGGGTGAGAGGCGGGTCCAGCCTGGACAGGTCTGCAGTCCTTCGCAGGGCAACACTGAGACAAACAACCATCCACACACACTCACACCTAAGTGGACTTTAGAGAAGCCAGTTAACCTAACAGTCATGTTTTTGGACTGCGGGAGGAAGCCGGAGTACCCAGAGAGAACCCACGCAACCTTCTTGCTGCAAGGCAGCAGTGCTACCCACTGCTCACTGAGCAGCCTAGTATAACAAAGTGATCTGGGTAATTTACTGGTTTCCAGACCTCTCCTTTCTAGCATCTAGTGAAATTATTTCAGGAAATCTTCCTGAGCCTCTGGTGTCAAGTGTTCGTTCACAAATATTCACAAGCACAGACCTGTTAGATAGTTGTCGATTTGTAAGAATGTGGACGGACACCAGAACCAGGTGAGAAGAACTGACTCAGGAGCTGAGCTGGCCATCATTTTTATTATCACTGTTGGACCTCTGCAGTTTCATCCTGCATCTTCAACAAAGTGGACCAGCTGTGGTCATCTGCTGGATGCATAATGGATGATGTGCAGATATCGTCTGACCACAAAACACTGGGAAACGGTTAAGAGAAGCCTAAATTAGTGGTAAATATCACAGGAGAGAGATCACTTTAAAGGAATAGTACACCCAAAACATGATTAGCCTTCATTTTCTACTCACCCCCATGCTGAACAACACTCTGGAGTACTTTTTTGATATCTCAAATGCATCTGGAGATCTGGGAGGCTTCTTGCTGTCTGCTGACATTCAAATAATGGAGGTCTATGGCACCCGAGGCAGAAAGGTCCATAAAAGTCCACAAAAAACATGTCAATATTCCTCCATACTGCTTGTCCAATGTATTCCAAGTGTCCTGAGTGGGTAGCGTCCATAATTTACTCGAAACGAAGTCTCAGTAGGGATGAAATAGAACTTCATTTCTAACTTTCATCTATGATTTGATTTTTTTCCATGTGTGGATTGCATGGATTGTTACTGACATCTGGTGAAAATATCATGTCCATAGCGCCACTGGAAATATATACAGAGAAAAATGTTCAATACTTATTTCACCTGCTGTATATAGCTATATAGAAAGAGCAAAATAAAACCTGACTATTAACTAGTGAGGAAAAACACAGAAGGTCAATGTTTGCAGACATTTGTTGGAAGAGTATCCAACTGTTTGAAACAGAGGTCATGTGGCTGTTCCTGTAAATTTCTTGAATGTGTTTCTGCAGATTAAAGGAGTTGGTAGAAAGTCCTTTAAGTCAGTGTAAGCTGCAAACCCTGCTGACCTCCCAGATGGCTCGGTCCTTTGTGATGAGTCTGCTGGAGTGGACCGAGGCGCGCTCACAGGTAACCCTCCCTTAAAGAGCAATTTATCGCCGTATTTATGGGAGAATTGTCCTGCCATAATGCAGGAGCACATCATTTCAATTTGAGAAAAGAATTTCATCTTCTTGCACTCAAAACTTATAATGCTCACACTCAAAACAAAGTATTTCAAGATAATAATTTAATATGTCGGTTCTTTGCTTTTGTACATAACAAACCACTAATTGTTTAAAATTACTTACTTCAGAATTGTTTGGGTTATCATTAAAAGCTGAACTTTGGTGAATCGAGCCACAAAACTACTGTAAATAGCAGTTTCAGCTGACGCCGTTATAAGTGGCGTAGTAGCACAGGCACACTCAGTGGGGTTAAACAAGCATACCCTTTCTGAGGCTGTCTTTCTATTGGCTGGAAAGGTTGCTAGGCGACGATCCTACTGCAATCCGAGAGAGAGCAAAAAAAATCCGCAACCAGAGCCTACGGGTTTGCGAGCATATCTGAGACTCGAGCAGAGCGCGGTTTGTGCGCGAAGAGAAGAAGGCGAGCGAGAGGAGAAAATATCTGTGCAAGAAGCATTAAATCTGAGAGAAGAAACAAAGATTTGAGAGAGAAGAGAAAATATTTGAGAGAGAGCGCATGTTTTGAGTGTGAGCATTATAAGTTTTGAGTGCAAGAAGATGAAATTCTTTTCTCAAATTGAAATGATGTGCTCTTGCATTATGGCAGGATAATTCTCCCATATGTATTCCTCAAGATGGGACCCAGAGAGGCCCAGAACAAAAATGGAGTCTGATCCCTTGCAGAAAAGTTAAAAACAATCCTCAGGACTTTTTTTTTTCCAAGTTTGAAGACGTTTCGCTTCCCACCCAGGAAGCTTTTTCAATTCAAAATGTCAGAAATAGCGTTGAGTTTGAGGCTTTATAGACCAAAATCAAAGCCTTGTTTTGGCTTAGAAAACTGAACCAGACGAACAGGTCCCCTTTGGAATGGGGGTCGTTTGGTTTCTTTAGGCTGTAATATACTATTTCTGACATTTTTAAGATGAAAAAGCTTCCTGGATGGGAAGCGAAACGTCTTCAAACTTGGAAACAAAGTCCAGTGGATTGTTTTTTAACTTTTTTGGAATGACTCTGACCTGGATGACTGAGAATCCTCGCCAGCATTCTGATCCCTTAGCCCTCCAAGAGCAGAATATATCAAATGCTCAAAACAATATAGCATTAGACTAGATACCAGGTGGCTGCTATTAGCTTCTTGTTATCTAACTTTACACTACAGTAAAACATATGAAATGAACAAAAATTCATCAAAAACCAACCTTTATTTTTTTGCTGGAAACTCTTCCTTCACTTTGCCAGACCTGTAAGCTTTGTGGATCTCCATTTGAAGAGCTGAGACATCTTGGAAGGTCAAGATGTCTCAGCAACCGGCCAATCAGCTGGCAGCTTCTTAGTACATTTACATATCGGCGAGTTTCAAAATGACTACAGAACAGAGAAGAAAGATAATCCAAGCTACGCTGAAGCTGCCAATGGATGTTGGATTTTTGGGGAAGTAAACACTAGTGTGTGACGAATCCATAACATATCAGACTGAATGGCTGCTGCTGCAGCAGACGACCACATCAGGGGGCCCACTATGAGCCCATTGGTGCCGTTACAGCCAACCGTGTCTAACCCATTATGACCAGAGTGTAAACACAAAGCTGTAAACATCTCAGACTGCTTGTTTTTCTATTCTCCTTCTGTACTTGCATTGCTGCTGTTCACCAAATAGGTGGCGCTAGAATGAATCTGACACTTTGATCCAGTCTGGTTTTAACCGGATGTCCTAATGAAGTGGCCAGTGAGTTTAATTCAAGATAAACAATTGAAAACGATCAAAATAAGTCAAACTGTTTCAACTGATGTATGCTCCTCATATTGACTCATCCATATTTAAGCTTTTCTCTATTTTTTTTTCCTAATTGA